TTAAATACCCTCCTTGACCCCCCAAAAACTTTTTTTCCCCCTTTTTTACCTTATGTTTGCAATAAGTATTTTAACTTTTTTTTACAGTTTTACTGTTCAATCCCATACTTCAGATCCCTAGTCTAAAAATCCATCTGGGGAAAGCGGCAAGAAAAGGGGGGGCAATTTTTCCTACATACATTAGTACCATTGCTAAAAAAAAAAAAAAAAAAAACCCGAAAACCCAAAAACCCCTCTAAAGGTTGGAAAGGGGGAAGGCAGCCTTGAGCTGGAGAGTGAGGGGGGGTGTTGAAACGCAGAGCCCAAAATGAAAAGCCTTGCTGCCCCAAAAAATCTCTGATGTTCAGTAAGGGGGGGGCATTTGGGCCCTTTTCCCCGGTTAACCTCCATTTCCCTCTAAAAATTGACATTGGATGATATGGATGAAACTTTTTGAGCTGAGTGAGCACCCAAATGCTTTAAAAAAATCAATGTCACTTGGTTTTTTCCCCGCGATTACAAATTTTTTAAATTTTTTCCCTTTATTGTTGAGTACCATTTTTATAAAAACTGTTTTTATTTTGCCTGTGTGTACCACGCATAGAGTAAAAATTTTGAATTAAATTTTTCCAAAAAGTAAAACATATTTGTTAAAAATTTTTTTTCCCATTTTCCCTAGTTTCAAAAAAAATCACACTTGTGTTTTTTTAAATTTAATCAGCGACTTTTCCGGTTTTTTATTTTTGTTTTAAAATTATCTGGGGGTAATGGGAATTACATAAAAGTAATGGAAAAAATGTGCGATTAAATTAGAATTTGTGTGTCAATATGTTCAGCTTATTTGGGAACATGATATCACGTGCTTATCCACACATCCTTTGCTTTATGTAGATCAGGGATTCCCCAACAGAGTCAGTCAATGGAGAGCTCTTTTGAACAACCCATGGTAGCTGGGCAGCACGCTGCTCCCTTTTTTCAGACCATTGACAGCAGGAAGTAGGTAGAAATACTGCTTCTATCTATATGATGTTTGTGGTTCACGCTGAACAAAGGGGTGCGAATTGGCGCAAATGTTCAATTACCTGAACAGCCAAATTTGGACCACACCATTGGTCTCATTCCCTTTGGGGTGATCTGGGGAAGATTGGTTCACTTCAGTTTTAGAGACCACACAGGAAGTAAAGAAACTTCTCCCCAATACCTACACAAATAGTAATAAAACCTGACGGAGGTCCTATCCCTTTACTAAATAAAACCGTTTAGGTTGGAGGTGTTACAACTTGTGAAGTGGAAATAAAAACCCAGAATCAAAATGTATTATAATGTAGCATTACCAATCATTAGATTGTAGTGGGTGCATCCACTTTCTTTTCTTTGGCTCTTTTCTCTCTGCTTTCCACCTGGTGATCTGGCCAGTAACACACCCTCCAGTATTAGTGAGGACACAACTCTGCAGGAATGAGTACAGGAGGCACAATAGACAGCAGCATTGTCAGTCTGGGGAGGGGGAGATGGGAGTGTTAAATATATTAGCAGATTTGAATACGATAATAAATTTGAAGCCAAACTCCAAATCACGTTTTGGTAATTTGTAGTTCAATCAACTTTTTTTTTCCCTTTGGGATAAAAGGTTTTACATGAATAGATAAAATCTGATCATTTTAATCACCCCTGCATGTGGTAAAATGGATTGTCTCATCCGTGTAATTTTTGTGATACATTTTTATGATACATTTTCTACAAGAGAGCTTGAGCTTACAAAAAACAGCAGACTTGCTAGCTGAATCACCAGATGAAAAGAGAAGAAAGAAACCCTACAAAAGGAAGCTAATACGGCCACCACATATAAGAATTGATAAGCTGCAATGTAATAACTGTTTGATTGAGTTTAATACCACTTCTACTCCAGCCCCAGAGATTCATGCATTTCAGAAATTTTAGCAAATTTCATTGGAGAATTCTATGTGTTCCAGAGGTAATACATACAGTATTATATACTACATTTTTCAGAACAAAAGTCTATTGGGAGGAATTGCAGGGAGTAATATCTATATTTGAAACTAGAATGCTCCATCATTTTTCTGTGTCCTCAAACTACTGGTACTGTGACTGTCAAGGGCTGAAAAATAGTGTTTTTTTGTTTAGGGCAAAGTGACAGAATAGCTTTAATGCACATTAAACTCATAAAATCAATGCTTCCTCATCCCTTCCTATTTTTCATATCCCCTATCTATTTATCTATAGCTCAGACATATTGGTGTTGATTTACCAAAGGAGTAGAGCATATTTACATTTGAAGCAAATTTTTGCTTTACACCACTGCATCTGAACGTGTTGCATTGCACTTGGTGATGTAAGGCTTGGATGCAGCTTTCCATGAAGCTCTCTACAAACCCATTCTATGAGGCTCTCTACACACTGTTGCTGTGCAAATCTGAAGGCCACACCAAGTTTGGAGGTCTTAAAACTACCGACTCTGCAGACAGTTGGCGTATTCTGTGCACTGTGTGCTTCAGCATGCGCTGACCCTTCTCTGTCGTTTTATGTGGCCTACCACTTTGTGGATGAGTTGCTGTTGTTCCCCAGTTGCTTCCACTTTGTTATAATACCACTAACAGTTGACTGTGGAATATTTAGTAGCCAGGAAATGTCACGGATGGACTTATTGCACAGGCGCTGGCAACTTATCACGATACCACGCTTGAATTCACTGAGCTCCTGAGAGCGACCCCATTCTTTCACAAATGTTTGTAGAAGCAGTCTGCATGCCTAGGTGCTTGATTTTATACACCTGTGGCCGTGGAGGTGATTGGAACACCTGAATCCAATGATTTGGAAGGATATCCCAATACTTTTGGCAATATAGTGTGTGTTATATATATATATATATATATATGTATATATAAACTGACCCAGACCCCATAATTATTATATTTTCTATTAAAAGAGAGATACTGCCACTTTGCAAATTCATGGTAAAGTGTCATTGGGTTGATTTGATAGACTGTACACTTTGAAAGTGCAGTTGCATCCATTTTCCCCAGAGCTTGGTGAATGTGGTGAAGCTCCCCATTAGAGATGAGCAAATTATTCAAAAATTCGATTCGACTGATTCGGCGAATTCGTGAAAAAAATTTGATTCGAGTCGAATATATTCGCTGCGAATTTAACTTATAAAAGGGTGTTTCTAGGCTTCAGAGAGCCTTTATATTAGTGCAGAACACTGTACCTTTAATTTAAATGCCCTTGGAGTCTGCTGGGGAAGAGAAATAATACTGTCAGTCAGTATGACATGCAGATGAGTGCCGTCGATCTTAGAATCACCGCACACTTCACTCATTTGGGCAGTCACGGGGCCAAAACCAGAGTGTGGAGCCACAGTGTGGCGGTGGAGGCAGCAGCAATGGGAGGCCATACAGCACCCTATGACAAAATGGAACCCACCAGCAGTGTGAGGAGACCTGAAAGTGGCACATGGCAGAGTGTGGCGATGGAGACAGCAGCAATGTTAGGCCGTACAGGGACCCATGACACACTCTGGACCTGGCAGCAGCATGAGGAGGCGGTACAGGGGCCCATGACAGATTACGGGCCTGGCAGCAGCATGAGGAGTCGGTACGGGGGCCCATGGCAGATTACGGGCCTGGCAGCAGCAATGGGAGGCCCGTAATCTGCCAGCACCCTATGACAAAATGGAACCCACCAGCAGTGTGAGGAGACCTGAAAGTGGGCACATGGCAGAGTGTGGCGATGGAGACAGCAGCAATGGGAGGCCGTACAGGGACCCATGACACACTCTGGACCTGGCAGCAGCATGAGGAGGCGGTACAGGGGCCCATGACAGATTACGGGCCTGGCAGCAGCATGAGGAGTCGGTACGGGGGCCCATGGCAGATTACGGGCCTGGCAGCAGCAATGGGAGGCCGTACAGGGACCCATGGACACACTCTGGACCTGGCAGCAGCATGAGTAGGCGGTACAGGGGTCCATGACAGATTACGGGCCTGGCAGCAGCATGAGGAGTCGGTACGGGGGCCCATGGCAGATACGGGCCTGGCAGCAGCAATGGGAGGCCCGTAATCTGCCAGCACCCTATGACAAAAAATGGAACCCACCAGCAGTGTGAGGAGACCTGAAAGTGGCACATGGCAGAGTGTGGCGATGGAGACAGCAGCAATGGGAGCCGTACAGGGACCCATGAGAGACTGTGGACCTGGCAGCAGCATGAGGAGGCGGTACAGGGGCCCATGGCAGATTACGGGGCCTGGCAGCAGCAATGGGAGGCCCGTAATCTGCCAGCACCCTATGACAAAAAATGGAACACACCAGCAGTGTGAGGAGACCTGAAAGTGGCACATGGCAGAGTGTGGCGATGGAGACAGCAGCAATGGGAGGCCGTACAGGGACCCATGAGAGACACTGTGGACCTGGCAGCAGCATGAGGAGGCGGTACAGGGGCCCATGGCAGATTAAGGCCTGGCAGCAGCAATGGGAGGCCCGTAATCTGCCAGCACCCTATGACAAAATGGAACCCTGGGCAGCAGTGTGAGAGACCTGTAAAGTGGCACGGTTTTTCCCAGGCAGAGAATGGCGACGGATATGCAGCAGCAATGGGTAGGCCCAACAGGGACCCCTGGCCACGCTCTGGACTTTCTGGCCAGCATGAGTCGACATTACGGCTACGTTTAGGCTTCCTCGGGGGCCCTTGACAAAAAACACCGCCGAGTAAGGCCTTTGCAGCAGTGCCGCTACTGGGACTGGCTGACTAACTTCCTCTGTGCACACCGGCACCACTATGGCAGTGGTGGTAGGCAGCAGTGGAGCTGGTGCTCTATGACAGGCCGTTTGCCTCCACTGACACTGCTGCGATGCTGCCTCCTGGCAGCAGCAATGGGAGGCGTACAGGGACCCATGAGAGACTCTGGACCTGGCAGCAGCATGAGGAGGCGGTACAGGGGCCCATGGCAGATTAGGGGCCTGGCAGCAGCTATGGGAGGCCCGTAATCTGCCAGCACCCTATGACAAAAAAATGGAACACACCAGCAGTGTGAGGAGACCTGAAAGTGGCACATGGCAGAGTGTGGCGATGGAGACAGCAGCAATGGGAGGCCGTACAGGGACCCATGAGACACTCTGGACCTGGCAGCAGCATGAGGAGGCGGTACAGGGGCCCATGGCAGATTAGGGGCCTGGCAGCAGCTATGGGAGGCCCGTAATCTGCCAGCACCCTATGACAAAAAATGGAACACACCAGCAGTGTGTGAGGAGACCTGAAAGTGGCACATGGCAGAGTGTGGCGATGGAGACAGCAGCAATGGGAGGCCGTACAGGGACCCATGAGAGACACTGTGGACCTGGCAGCAGCATGAGGAGGCGGTACAGGGGCCCATGGCAGATTAGGGGCCTGGCAGCAGCTATGGGAGGCCCGTAATCTGCCAGCACCCTATGACAAAAAATGGAACACACCAGCAGTGTGTGAGGAGACCTGAAAGTGGCACATGGCAGAGTGTGGCGATGGAGACAGCAGCAATGGGAGGCCGTACAGGGACCCATGAGACACTGGGACCTGGCAGCAGCATGAGGAGGCGGTACAGGGGCCCATGGCAGATTAGGGGCCTGGCAGCAGCAATGGGAGGCCGTAATCTGCCAGCACCCTATGACAAAAAATGGAACACACCAGCAGTGTGAGGAGACCTGAAAGTGGCACATGGCAGAGTGTGGCGATGGAGACAGCAGCAATGGGAGGCCGTACAGGGACCCATGAGACACTCTGGACCTGGCAGCAGCATGAGGAGGCGGTACAGGGGCCCATGGCAGATTAGGGGCCTGGCAGCAGCTATGGGAGGCCCGTAATCTGCCAGCACCCTATGACAAAAAATGGAACACACCAGCAGTGTGAGGAGACCTGAAAGTGGCATGGCATGTGGCATGGAGACAGCTGGGAGGCCGTGGGACCCATGGCTCTGGACCTGGCAGCAGCATGAGGAGGCGGTACAGGGGCCCATGGCAGATTAGGGCCTGGCAGCAGCAATGGGAGGCCCGTAATCTGCCAGCACCCTATGACAAAAAATGGAACACACACCAGCAGTGTGAGGAGACCTGAAAGTGGCACATGGCAGAGTGTGGCGATGGAGACAGCAGCAATGGGAGGCCGTACAGGGACCCATGAGAGACTCTGGACCTGGCAGCAGCATGAGGAGGCGGTACAGGGGCCCATGGCAGATTAGGGGCCTGGCAGCAGCTATGGGAGGCCCGTAATCTGCCAGCACCCTATGACAAAAAATGGAACACACCAGCAGTGTGAGGAGACATGGCTGAAAGTGGCACATGGCAGGCCGACAGGGACCCATGTGGACCTGGACCTGGCAGCAGCATGATGAGGCGGGCGGTACAGGGGCCATGGCAGATTAGGGGCCTGGCAGCAGCAGCTATGGGAGGCCCGTAATCTGCCAGCACCCTATGACAAAAAATGGAACACACCAGCAGTGTGAGGAGACCTGAAAGTGGCACATGGCAGAGTGTGGCGATGGAGACAGCAGCAGCAATGGGAGGCCGTACAGGGACCCATGAGAGACTCTGGACCTGGCAGCAGCATGAGGAGGCGGTACAGGGGCCCATGGCAGATTAGGGGCCTGGCAGCAGCTATGGGAGGCCCGTAATCTGCCAGCACCCTATGACAAAAAATGGAACACCACAGCAGTGTGAGGAGACCTGAAAGTGGCACATGCAGAGTGTGGCGATGGAGACCAGCAATGGGAGGCCGTACAGGGACCCATGAGACACTGTGGACCTGGCAGCAGCATGAGGAGGCGGTACAGGGGCCCATGGCAGATTAGGGGCCTGGCAGCAGCTATGGGAGGCCCGTAATCTGCCAGCACCCTATGACAAAAAATGGAACACACCAGCAGTGTGAGGAGACCTGAAAGTGGCACATGTTTGGGGCATGATTCATGGCGGATTTAGTCAGTTGTGTCAGGAACTGGTGGTTTGAAATCCAGACTAATCCACGCCTGATTCATTTTCACAAACGTGAGTCTCTCTCCACACTTTGGGTGGACAGTCGTGTCCTCCGCGGAGTTACAATACCTCCTGCCGCACTAAACACGCGCTCCGATGCCACGCTACTGGCCGGGCATGACAGCCTTTCAAGGGCAAATTCAGCTAGTTGGGGCCAAAGGTCAAGTTTCGTTGCCCAGTAGTCAAGGGGATTGTCTACCTCGGTTGGCAGGGTGCTGTCCAAGTAGGCCCAAGCCTGTTGTTTGAGGTCCTGCTCCAGGTCCACCTGATGCTGCTGCTGCTGCGGCGGCTGGTTAGTAGTTTCCTCACTGCGCTGGTGAAGAAAGCTACTCATCATCGACTGCAGACTGAGGCAGCCGCTGCTGGTGGAGCTGCCACTGCTCCTACCACCCCACCCCTCCCCTGCTGCCATGGCAGCGGAACGCGAGCGCACAGGGCCCACAGTGTCTGAGGATGGACGTTGGCGCAGAAAAGGCAGAGACCAACTGACTACATAGGTGGTTTTTATAGTACGTTATTTTGGCCTCCCTCTCAGCAGGTGTGAAAAAGGCCACCATTTTTGAACGGTAGCGAGGGTCCAACAAGGTGGACAGCCAAAAGTCATCCCTCTGTCTGATGGTTATTATTCGGCTGTCGCTACGCAAGCAACCGAGCATGCTATGGGCCATTTGTGCCAAGGAATGCGAGGGACTCCCTGCCTCCATCTCCACAGCATACTGCCACGGTGCGTCTGGGTCCTCTGTCTCCTCCTCCTCCTCCTCTACCAGATGCTCCTGCTCCTCCACTCCTGTCCGCTGAGTGGAAAAACCACCCATTTCACTCAATAATTCCTGAGCACAAATGTCCTCCTCTACCTCCTCCTCTTCTTCCTGTCCTGCCCCCACAGGGGTCATGTGGCGTTGAGATCTGTGCGCCACGTCTACCGCACCCTGACCAGCCATTGTTAACAGCATTTGTTCCAGGACGTGCAACAGAGGAATGACGTCGTTCATCCCATAGTCCTGCCGACTCACGAATAGCGTGGCCTCCTCAAAGGGCCTGAGCAAGCGGCAGGTGTCACGCATGAGCTGCCAATGGCTGACATCGAAGTTACACAGGGGAGTACCTTTATCCGCTTGTAACATCAGGAAATCGGTGATGGCCTTTCGCTGTTCGTAAAGGCGGTCTAACATGTGTAGGGTTGAATTCCACCTTGTTGCAACGTCGCAGATCAGGCGATGCTGTGGAATTCCGTTCTGCCGCTGCAGCTCAAGGAGGGTGTGCTTTGCGGTGTAGGAATGGCTGAAATGCATGCAAAGTTTACGTGACATTTTAAGGATGTCTTGCAGTGGGATGGTGGATTTTAGGAACCGCTTGACAACCAGATTGAACACGTGAGCCATGCATGGCGCATGGCACAACCTTCCTTGACGCAGAGCAGACACCATGTTCTTTCCGTTGTCGGTCAACATGGTTCCGATTTTCAGTTTGCGCGGAGACAGCCATCTGTCGATTTCTCTGTTCATTACACTCAGAAGTTCCTCCCCTGTGTGACTACGTTCGCCAAGGCATACCAGGTGCAGCACAGCGTGACACCGTTGCGCCCTGCACATGTGATATGCCGGTCGGGTAATGGGACTTGGCACGGGGGGTGGCGGCTGAGGACACGGCGGAAGGAAGAAGAGGTGGTAGAGGCGGACATCTTTGCTGGACCAAGGACGTGCAAACGTGGAGGCAAAAGCGGCGTGACCTGTCCAAGTTGCTGGTGCGGCTGTGACGGCACCACGTTCACCCAGTGGGCCGTAAATGACATGTACTGTCCCTGACCGTAGTTACAGCTCCACACGTCGGCGCTGCCGTGCACTTTGGCAGAGACCGACATGCTCAAAGACTGGCCCACCATCTCTTCTACATGTGAATGCAGGGCTGGCACTGCCTTTTTGGCGAAGAAATGACCGGCTTGGCACTCTCCACCGCGGCGCGGCACAAGCCATCATTTCTCGGAAAGGTGCTGAGTCCACCACTTGGAAAGGGAGGGACTGCAGCACCAGCAACTTGGACAGGAGGACGTTCAGCTTTTGCACCGTCGGGTGCGTGCTCGCAAACTGTTGTCTCTTGGAAACGGATTCCAAGAAAGACTGCTGACGGAATCCGTGAAGAGGAGTAGCAGGAGAAGGAGCATCTGAACGAGCGGAAGATGCCAACGAGCGACAACTCCCCTCAGCAGAGGTGTTGGAGCCTTGACTGGCTGATAGAGGGCGATTGACGTCGGGTGACGGAGCAAGTAACGGAGCGGGTGATGGAGCGGGGGCTGGGGCAGGCAGAACCGCCGTATCTTTATCACGGTTTTCCCAGCCACCAAATGGCGACGCTGCATAGCTGCCGCAACGCTGTAGTCCCAACATGGGCCCCCTGGCCACGCTTGACTTTCTGGCCACATAGTCGACATACGGCTACGTTTACTTCCTCGGGCGGCTTGACGAAAAATTGCCACACCGCCGAGTAGGAAACTTTGCCCCCGATACTCCTCACTGGCTGACTGCTACTTCCTCCGTGCACACCGGCACCACTACTGGCCGTGGTGGTAGGCTGCAGTGGAGCTGGTGCTCTACTCCGTGGCCGTTTGCCTCCACTGACACTGCTGCGACCCTGCTGCCTCCTGGGCAACCCACCGACTGTTTTGCTCGCTGCCAAGCTGGCACCCTCTTCTCCTGATGATGCGGAAGCAATAGCCTGATGACGACGAGGCTGCCAAGTGCGATCAGCCTCATCATCATCAATTAGGGTCTCCGCCTCACTACTAGCCCCCTCGGCTGCGTGTGGGTCAGGAGACAGACCTGTCTCTAGACCGGCTACCGAGCCACTCTCCTCGCCAGTACTTCTTCGCCTGGCTGCTGAAGAGGCGGATGTCTCCCCCCCGTTCCTGACCGCCCTCTGTTAGCTCTTCCTCACTGTACAGTGGGGCTGAGCCCACAGCATGCGATACTTCGCTTGGTGAGGGAACACCAAAGGACAGGGGCAGGTCCAGAGGACACGTGATTTCAGTGGGCTTGCTCCCGGGCCATGCCAACTAACGGTTGTGTCTGACGTACCCACCGACCGTTGGCTGTAGGTGTCAGAGGTGACCTGGGAAGAGGAAAGACGACCGAGCCAACCAATCGATGACGGCAGGGTTTGTCGGTGGAGGACACGACCGCTGGATGACACCGGGAGCAAATGGCCTCTGGCTGCGACTAGTGCTGCCTCGACCCCTTCCCTCTGCTGCCACGTCTGCTGCTCCTAAAACATTGCCTCCCTCTGCCACTCCTCTGCATGTTGTCTGACATACTCTTTAATTAAACGATTCTGCCCCTGAGTAACAATTCTGTGTCCCTGAGTAAAATTCTGTGTCTGT